ATTCCCCTTCTGGGTATTTTTCCAGATCTGAAAACATCATATCACAGCAATATATGTGCACCCATGTTCATAGCAGCACAATCTGTAATTGCTAAAATGTGGAAGCAACCCAAATGTCCATCCACTGAGGATTGGATAAAAAAATTGTGGTACTTTTACATAATGGAATATTACTCAGCTATAAAGAAAGCTATAAACAAAGAATATTACTCAGCTATAAACTCGAGGTTTTTACAGGTAAATGGTCACAACTAGAGACCATACTCATCAGTGAAATAAACCAGACCTCCATGTGTAAGCAATGTATTGTCTCACTAGTGTAAGAACTGAATAAAAAGTAGGAGGTATGGTAGACATTGTGAAATGAAAGGAAAATGCTCAAAAGTAAAGAGCAACTGGGGTGAGGGAAAAGAGAAAAGAAAGAAGTGGAAATTATGTATGTTTGTATATACAGGATAACTAACATAGTTGTACTACTGACTTCTATCGCTATACTGAAAGGAACAATTAATGATTACTTATTTGATCAATCTTGCATCTCTCTATTTGTTTTCCTTAGAAACCACTTTGAAGATATCAGTATGCATTACACCAACCATTGTTAATTTCCTACCACTTTATCTGTAACTCTGTATTGTTTGTATTGTTCTTATGCTGTTTTGTAAATGGATGTCTGTTTGTTAATATGTTTGCCTTCTTTTATTTTTAAAATAAATTTTAAAAAATTTCAGAAAAGATTTCCAAAATCAGGGTAGAGATGTTAAAAATCCAGCTCCAAAACTTCTGAACCAACTGGTTGGCAAAAGATATGCCCACATTCAATTTCCATATCATCTTTGTGTTCAAAATGCTCTTATCCCTATTCTTTTTTTTTTTTTTTTTTTTTTGACAGGGTTTCACTATGCAGTTCAGTCTGACCTTGAACTCACTTTGTAGCCCAGGCTGGTCTCAAACTCACAGAAATCCTCCTGCCTCAGCCTCTTGAGTGCTGGGATTACAAGTGTGTGCCACCAGGCCCAACCTTCTTGCCTCCATTCTCAAAACCTCATTTTACATGGGTGTGGGTATCTAATGCTCAGACAACAACTGGATAAAGTGTGGTTTCAGAGGTTCCATCACTGTAATTCTTTTTTGTTTTTCCTAGTGTTCATACTGATATAGGGGAAAAAACCTCCCAATCTGAATGATATCTGGTATGAGTTTGTGTTCTCTAAAATCAAAGGATGAATTTTAGGAACAACAGAGATTAAGAGCAGAATATATTTATTGAGGGAAAGAAAGCTTCTGTCCAGGAGAGGGACAGAAGGGGGTGCCCCAGTGGATTGCCCAGGAATCTGTCTTTTTGAGGGACTTTATAGAGCAAAACTACAAGGTGCGGCAAGTCCAAAGTGGAAAACATAGGAACTCGCTAGGTGGGCCTGAGGTGGGACAAAACTATGGTCAGCCAATAAAATTACAAGTATAATTGTTCAGGTAAAATTGATTAAATTGGGATCAAATGGGGAAGAGAGTCATGCAGCAAGCGAGCATGAATACGGAACAGGGGCCTTTCCTGTAGGGGGTTGGGTTAGTGACTCTTCCTGGCTTTTTCAAGGTGATTGCTACCTATTTAGAATGTCAATCCCTGAGGTCTATCCCTAGAGAAGTATGTGGGTACATCTGTTTAATCTTTTGTCGACAGCTGGAGGTGTATGTCTCCTCCACAGTTGCAAGGTATCTCATCTTCTGCACTGGCTCCTTCGAGGTCCTGTCCCTGTCCAACTGCCTATAATATTTTTAATATTTCTATCTAACTCAGCTGCCTATAACAATACCACATTTACACACATCTAAAAGGACTAAATGAAAGCTGTTTTAGAACTTATAGCCCCCAGTAGAAAATTTATATGTTTAATCAGATGACCTGACTATAGTTAAAACTTTGTTTGCCTCCAAAAAGACAGTATCTGTGTCCCAAAGAGTACTATAGTTGATACCAGAAACTTCCAGTGCAGAGAACAGTGTGCCATTTAATCTGCATATGCTGAAGAAAGTGGCTCAATAATGGTACAGTCATTGAGATCCATTTTAAAAGGCAGCACCACCCACTCAGGTGAGGTGCATTAAGATGTAAATTACTCTCCACAGGGAGTGGAGTGCTGCTAGTTACAGCTGAAACCAAGTTCTGTAATCTCATTAAACCTTTTCTCCGCACTCCCTTGGTTGCCGGCCCTCCAGCTAAACAAGTTGAGGCATGTGTTATTCCCTAGAAGAAAGTTTGAACGCTGTGAGAACCCAAGGTGTGCTTGGGAAGGTCACACTTTTCTTTAATGCTACTGCTGTTGCCAAAGTTTGGAACTTTTCATTAAAACACCCAGATGGGTGCATCATGGTCTTTGCTACACGCCTTTGGCAAGAAAGCAACCACCTCCATTTTGCAAAGTCTGTTAGTAAAATTTTCTGGATCAATAATGCTCCCAGGGGAAATCTCTAGTTTGGAACTGATCTGTGAAGAATTCAGGTACATACTAGATTTTGTGTGCACTTAATCAATAATTGTTAATTTCCATCTAAAACAACTGCAAAAATTTGTGGCATAGCAAAACTTGGTGTAGTGGTTATTTTCACAGCTTGGATTTACTGATAACTCTCCACTTCATCCTCTGAATAATTGGGCTCAAATACAATCTAGACACTTGATGTCCAAGTTAACTATGAGGGAAGTTAAACCTGAAGCTCAAAATATAAAATTTCCTAGCAAATTTTCAAGTGTTTCTAAACAAATCTATCTTTCCTTTTCTATTTCTTTTCCTTTATTATTATTTTATACAAATTGGAGAGGAGGAGGTTAGTGGATAACATTGTCCTTTAGTCTTTAGTCACAAAATATTCAGATTAGTCCATGACTATATTTGAGGAAGAAATGGACAAAGATGAAAGAATATTTGCATCTTGCTAAGCAAAACAGAGCATTATTACTGTTGCTCTCCAAATATGTGTAAAAGGCTATGTGGGGAACCACTCAGACTGCTTCAAAGCTCAGGGACATCTAAGGACACCTGAGGACACGACCCAGCTTGTCTGGCATAGGCACACAGTGGGATACACTTATATCATGACTTAGCACAGATAAATCCACATGCACTGGTTACAGCACTACATAAGAATGTAAATATGAGATAACAATGTGTATAAGAATTCTGCAATGAAAATGTAGGTGATTGTTGTGCTCTTGTGCTCTGCTCTGCTCCATGCTGCCTGTTGTTTTTGCTGATGTCTTGCACATATGCATTCTTCAACCTTGGGACCTCACCCTTGAAAATCTCCCTTGGGAACTCCAAGCAGGCTGACAGGCTTTTTATGGATTTGGGTGGTTAAAAGAATTGTGACCAAAAAATTAAGCTTTCTTATTATATACATTTAACATTATTGTTATTGGTATTATTATTTGAGTTTTACACCCACATTTCTATAATGAGGCAGAGGCTTTGCAGGCCACATTTTCTCATTTGGCTGACCTCCAAATGAAAACATCACCATCTCCCATGAGGAGCCCTGGGTAAACTCAAGAGTTGAAACTCATCAGCTCATGGCTATTCTGGAGACAAAAGGTTACTTGTGCATAACAGGGGAATAACTTACCAAGTCTCAGTCCATGCCCTAAGACAATCCCGAGGTTATTATAAAAACTCACCCTACTCCTAATCCTGCCTCTTTGATAACTACGGGCCCAGAAGTTAGCCACTTTCATGAAGAAGTGATCTTCTAGACCTAATCAAATAGGCAGGACATCAGTGACCTGCCCCTCCAAGAGATGTGGTTCACAAAAGGGAGTAGCTTTGTCCAAGAACATCAAAGGCAAGTTGTGTGGTTGTCAGTTCACAAGAGATCACTGAAGCAAAAACCTCTTCCCCCAGGAATCTCTGCTCAAAAACTCTCACTTACTGTCTGACCTTGGGCAAATACAGTTCATATGCCATTTAATGACAGAGTCATGTTCTGAGAGAGGGCTCATAAGGTGATTCTGTCCTAGTGTGAACACCATGGAGTGTACTAACACAAAGCAAGATGGTTATGATGTCACTAGGTGATACAGTCTTTTGGAACCACCTTCACATACACAGTCATTGACCAAAATGCTGTTATTGTGGCTCATGTCTTTAATTGATGTTCCTCAGCATCAGTGTCTTTGTTCATAAAAGACAATAACTTTAAGAAGTTGGTGTTGTTATCACATAAAGTCAAGTATTAATTCATTACACATTCAACACATGGTAGGTGGTTGATAACTGGTAGTATAAGTTGCTGTTGGTATTATTTTTAGAATAAGGTGCACCCAGGTAAGCAGATTTGGCAATCACCTACCTAGAGCAAGGTATTCACCTGCCTCCTCCAGTACATGAAGTCAAAACACAATTCATTCCCATGAGGTTAAGAATTACTCCTTATTAAAACAGCCAACACATTAATCTCCTATCACTATTAGCTGCTTGTAGGTTTATCAGCTCTACAAGCTAATACATATGTTGGTTCATCCTTATAGAGGTTATGTGCTAATGATACCAGATGATAGGACCTCTCAACTACAAGGTAGAAGCAAGTCTGAATTAAATATTACACACACATAGGAAACTTTAAGTGGTAATTCAGGGCTTCAGCTGAAGGGAATTGGCAATAGTTTGAGAGAAGGACCAAGCTGCCCACAGAACAAAGAAAGCAGCAGATTTTTACTGATTTGTTGGGGTGGCCCAAAGTCTGGTAATTTCAATTGGCCAGGAGCATTATTCCAAAGGATATTTCTTCTTATGGTGGACTTGGACCACCAGGTGGTAATCATCAACTTGCCTTAGGAGCTGATGACTTTGTGGGTATCTGGCGCATCATCCTGCACAAAGCATCTTGACCTTGAGGGTCTTAGTCCAGTGACATGGCCAAAAGATTTCAGGTGCTTGGGATTTTGTAGACTCTGAACCCTAGGATAAGGGCAGGAAAGAGGGGAGAAAGGAAAAGAAAACACATACCAGCTTCACTGGGCAATGGGCAAAATTGACCCTTTTCTTAGTCACTTTCTTCAAATACCTGACACCTGTAATTTAAAGAGAAGTTTATTTTGACTCAGTTGCAAAAGTTTCAGTTCATGGTAAGTCAGCTGCACACAGAAATTGGCAGAGGAATGTTGCTTATGTCGTGATGGTCAGGAAGCAGAGAAGGGTGAGGCCAGGAAGGAAGATACACACATCCTTCCAGGTCATGTTCCCAGGAACCCACCTCTTCCAACTGGCAAGTCAACTGTAGAGCTCCCATAATCCAGTGACCCTCCAAACACATGAAGATTTGCAGGCTATTTTAGATCTAAACTATAACAACCTTCTACTATAGTTTTGAATAAAACAATTTAAATGATCAACATGTCTATGTGTAGAACTGAGCAGAATCTCACTCAAGAGTTAAGAGAGCAAAAGGGACAGACACAATATGAAGACAGAGATGCTTGGCATTTTGCCCCATTTTAGTCACCAACTGGACATTTGTAGGCCAAAGTAAAGAGTTTGTTTTCAGCACAAACAGCCTACAAACCCTGAGAAGTAACCTAGGCAACTGCTATCATCACCCACACATCAGAGGTGTTATCTACAGCAAAGCTAGCTTGAAAGTAAAAGTTCTGCCCAGCTGTGTGACCTCTAAAGCTAGTAATTTTTAAGTTTTAGCAAAGAGTGAATAAAGCTAGATGGCTTATTTAGATTTCCCCTCCATAAAAATTTTTCACGTCATGCAAACATTCTGCTTTTGTGGTTTTTATCAGAGTCTCATGATGGGTTTGCTGAAAGAGCACATGAGCTGAGAATTAACTTGCCATGCTTCAAAGGGTAATAGCTTATTGCTCTCACAGCTTATTTTATCATCCTACCATTCTCTCTCA